ACGCTCCACGCTTCCTTCGTTGCACTCGGCTATCATCCGGGAGCATTACTACGCTCTCTCCTCTTTGCAGTCTCTATTGTTGCATACATCCGACTAAACTCATGGTATCGGTTTTACACCATTGACCGCAAGGCTGCAGCATTGGGTGCACGGACGATCCCTATCGTCAAAGGCAAATGGCCCGGGAACCTAGATTTGCTCATTCGCCTCATGCAAACCCCCAAAGAGGCCTATGTCGGGGCAAGATTGTACGAATTCTTTAAGCAATATAAGACGAATACGATCAATATTCGGCCTTTGGGTATGGACCTCATCATGACTTGTGACCATGGCATCATCAAGGAGATGTTGGCCACGGGATTTGCACGGTGGGAAAAGGGTCCACGGCAAAGGGAGAAGCTCGCGGATTTCTTTGGAAGGGGTATCTTTGCGGTGGACGGTGAGGAATGGAAAATGGTACGCTACTCGTCCCCTGCATATACCGATATAAAAGGGACTTATTGATAACCTGTACTAAAAATTAGCATCGCTCTATGACGAGACCTTATCTCAGCAAGGAGCGAACCTCGGATTTTGACACCTTTTGGAAATATGCTCGCAAGTGTCTATAATCTTGACAATAGGATCTGTATTAACATACCGTATAGAGGTTACAATCTCGATTCTGGACAACATTTCTCGTAGGGATGTCCCAGTTCTAGATATTCAAGATCTATTGGCGCGCTTCACGATGGACTCTGCCTCCGAATTCCTGTTCGGCAAATGTCTAGACACACTAAAGGGCCGTATGCCTGTTGCTGGACAAGCCAAGCTGGGTACGAGAGGAAGTGCTCATGCTAATGCGACTGAGGATTCCTTCGGTGACTTTGCCACAGGTAAGCGAAAGGCGACTCTTGTTGTGTTTTGACTGACTGTCTTCTATTCAATAGCATTTGAGAAGGCGCAGATGGTGCTCTCAAACCGAGCTGTCAGAGGTAAACTATGGCCATTGTTCGAATTATTCGGAAACAAGTGCGCACCATACATGCTCACCATCAACTCCTTCTTGGATCCTGTCATCGCTCGAGCGCAGAAAAAACAGGCAGGGGAGAGCGAAAGTAATGATGTGGAGGTGGACCTGACGGGTGAAGAGCCAACTACGCTGCTCGGGGAACTGGTGACTTCAATCAATGGTATGTAATCATGACCCACCGTGAATATATTCTGTGTACTCACCGTACTTGTGACTAGATCCTATTGTTGTGCGCAATGAACTGTTGAATATCCTATTAGCCGGAAGGGACACGACAGCTGCTCTACTCACCTTTGTTATCTACATGCTCTCGCAACATCCTGGTAGGTACACTAGTCTATATTCCTCAGATGTATCTGACAAACCTCTCAAGATGTCGAAGAGAAACTGCGCGATGAAATCAACAAAACATGGATTGACCAAGATGAACAACCGACATATGAGACGGTAAAGAAGATGAAGTATCGTATGTAGCCTTGCTATTTGAAGTATAGATGACTAACCGAATCGCTAGTTCGTGCCGTGTTGGATGAGACCCTGAGGTTATTCCCTCCTGGTCAGCAATTTACTCTCTTGTATAGGATACAATCATCTCACATCGACTTTAATTGTAGTGCCCCTGAATCATCGAACGAGCTCCGTGGACTGCACTTTACCCCCGACTGATTGTAAGGAGGACCCAGACAAACGGCCGTATTTCGTACCAGCTGACACTCAAATTACCTACTCGTACGTATGAATCGAATTTGTTAGATGCTCGTATGTTACTGATGTGCTTCTCAATATCTCGGCTCAATAGACCTATCATCATGCAACGCTCCGAAGCCTTGTGGGGACCTGATGCTCAGGAGTGGAAACCGGAGCGATGGCTTGACCCTAAAGAGGCCGCGAAGCACAATGCTAGCTTTGAGTTTGTCCCTTTCAATGCAGGGCCGCGTATTGTTCGTCTCGTTTCTCTGCAAATTATGTTTCATTCATTTCTCATCACCAGTCTCTTTCTAGTGTCTTGGTTTGAACTTGGCATATAACGAGGTCTCTTTCTTCCTCACCGTCATCCTACCGAAATTTAGGCTTCATCTTGCGCCCAAGTACCAACCCGAAGGTTCCGCGCCACGGCCAGAGTGGAAAAAAGATGACGATACTCAGATGGGGAGGGTAAGAATTGAGAAAATCTGGCCCTTGTCGAGTGTGACGATGTATGTCAAAGTAAGTGGCTGGTTCATCCGGAAACATGATAGGGAATCAATTCTGATGACTCGCCAGGGTGGCCTCTGGATGCAAGTCGAGCGTTTATACGAGTGATACGTAAACGTACCCTTCAAGATATTCCTGACCTCTAGGTCAGGTCTTGTCGGCCAAAATTCCTCAGAGTGGTCAGGAACATGACTTTGACAACTGAATG